AGTAGTAGTAGTAGTAGTAGTAGTAGTAGTAGTAGTAGTAGTAGTAATAGAAATAGTAATCGTTGGAATATGAGTAGTAGTGGCAGTAGTTGGCACATAATCAGTAGTGGTGGTAGTAGTAACAGTAATAGCAGAAATATTAGTAGTATAAGTAGTAGTAATAGTTGGCATATAAGTATTAATAATACCAGTAGTAGTGGCATGCGTAGTAATAAGTGACACGAACGTAAAGTGAGGGCAAAGGCGTAATTTGTACGTTCAAAAAGTGAATGTGCAGGGCCTTAGTATGGTTTCAAGGTGGCTCTCGACAACCAGTTTGTGGGCCCTATATGAAAAGCTACTGTGACTTAAGCAATAAGCAAAGAAAAAACAAAACGGACGGATGGAGGGAGGGATGAAACGTCAACGGGTCAGTACTTTTAACTTCAGACGGGTGCGTCCTTCCTCGTCAAGGACTTCGTCCTCATCTAGCTCATCCTCGTAGACAGCAGGGTCAAAGGGGCGAGTTTCGACGGAGAGGAAGTTAGGCATTTTCACCAAGTGCATTTCCCTATGATGAAACAAACAGGACGGTAAGTCAATAACAATGACAGCAAAAAAAAAGAGCTAGAAAAACTTCAAAGTTACCTGCCCAAGTCCACACGAATGAGAGGAAAGGCTACAGCGATCCGTGTCTCACCCGCTTCTTCTGTTACCTCGTGGTCGGCAGCTAAGTCCTCGGTCTCGCTGTCCTCTCGCTCGTTAGCCCCAGGGACCTGTTTGCTAGACCCAAGCATTGATTGTTCGCTTGAAGCTCTTGAAGATTCGGATAAGGACCGTGCCTTGACAGGAGCGTCTTCCTCTTCCTGTTCAGACTCTTCGCTGGAAGAGGAACCCAAAACATCGTGGGCAGTCAGTTTTTGAGGGTGCGGCTTTTGTTCTTCAGCCGAATCGCTTTCGGATTCCCTGGGCTTTCTTTCCTCTTCCTCATCCTCGTCCTCGTTCTCCTCCTCATCCTCATCTTCAAAAATGTTTGGCTTCTAAAGGATCGGACAGAGACTGAAATGTAGCAATGTTTGGAGACGCGGAAAAATCAAACCAGTTCGAAGTTATGATGCTTGCAAGTGTATCATTACATACAGGGCATAACACTGGGACTTGCAAACCCAAAAGAATTGAACTGTAAACGTAGGCGGTATTCGTGTACGGTAGGCCATAATCAGGTCAGTGTGCACCTCGAAAAAATGCCTTAGTATAATTCAGGGGATTAACATTTCGAAGTATACTATCCTCCTTATTCAGGGCATGGAAGGAGAAGAGGAGAAAAGTCTTCCTTGAGATTCAAAAGCCGCTCAGAAAATTAACTGAGTGGTTTCGGAGGAACGCTGGCCATGAGGTAGAACAGTAATATGTCATAGCTTTTCGACGCATATCTAACCTGAAAACTGGCACAAATTGAGGCAGTTGCAACGGTCTTACATGTAAGCATACTTTTTACACACTGAGATTTTTTACCTGTACATGGTACAGCTGCGATAATCCTTGATCTATTCAGCCTTGACGATGTCGACGTTTTCATTGCTTTATGCGTGGCGATCTGTGGCACAAGATCTGGAAAATTCGACCCATTTCTTTCCCAGCGACGCAGGCCGAATACGAAAAATCTGAGGATAACTTGGGCCAGGTTTAGGGTTGGCCTCCTCTTCGAAACAAAAAGACAGACAATCGCGTCGAATTAAGGACAAAAACATTGGGCTTATAAGGTGACCGACGAAGAATGTACTTAAATCAATTCAGGTGCCTTTCTTCGGTGATTTGAGTTGTGCTAGTGATTTTGTGACAGCGAGTGCAGAATGGCTTATATGAAACGAAATTAATGGGCTTCGCTTAAAGATTGATCCTCAAGAAGCGATTTTAAAGTCTCCCCAGTTTCTGCTCATCCTCCATGCGCACAAACCAGCACTTGAAATAGTATTGAAGGGCTGATCAGACGGATACGCGTTACCCGTGAATTGAGAAAACCCTGCGAGTAGAATCGATCCGAAAGAATAGGAAGTCCTTACTGTGTAGTTGTGGCAGCCGCACCACCCTGGGATATTTGAAATATTTTACTTTTTCAACTTGGCACATAGTAATTCCAAGGACTTTCTTCTTTTGGCCAGGTTTACAGATCACAAAACCATAGTCGTACTGGTTTTTATTAGATAAACTGAGGGGTTTTGACACCACAGAGTGCAGATCATCAAAGCTCGGGACTCGTATGGCGATAGCATTGGCGTAGTCCAGATCAATTAACCAGCGTCGCGATGAGAACGTAACACTATCAAACCTGTGTATAGCCCTTGCCAGAATCTAGCTAATGGTGTAGTTGAACATAATGGGCAACAGGCTACGGCCTTGCTGAACGCCAGACTGAATATCGGACGGTTTTGAGAGAATTGGACCATTGCTTGAACGATAAGGACCACTAAGGTGTTCCTTGCCGGCGTACAATCTTATTATATTAGCCTCAGAAATAGTCGTTATCTTATCCGAGGCCAATGGGAAGTAAAGCATGCAAGTTCAGCATGCTCCTAGGCTAGCCGATCAACTATATATGTAAATTTTAGATACTGCGAAGGAAACTTTTTGCTTTTCACTCCTTCCCCTCTTCGTTTATCGTTCAAATGAACAAGCCAAACTACTCGTTACCTTGAGCATAGACTTCCATTATCACTGTTTTTTTTATTTTTAAAGAGGGTCAGAACTTTTTAATATTTCCTAACATATTACTTTGGTTCCCAATTTATCCCTTTTTCATGCGAAGGCCAAACTGTTAGGTTTGAATCTACTTTGATATACGAGGGTCTAAATTATCGTCATGACTGAACTAACAACACTTTCTCGGACAAATGGCAAACGTATGACAAACTAACAACAAAGTCAGCGAGAAGTACTTGAAACAAACACTAATAATCAGCATGATGAGCACGGTCTATATGCGCGAAGTCGTGACGGAATCACACAGAAAGTACTAGACAAGCAAGGCAATAAAGAAAATAAAAGCTTAGTAAATGTCACAAATATGTGAGAATTACTACGTTCATCTTCAAAAAGAGACAGTGAGACACCGGGGCGAAATTATAAAGAAAACGATCGAGTGGTATTTTATTGGATACTGAGGTGAGGTAGGATGAGAGGCGGGACAAAAAGTATCGATATAAAAAATTAATAACAATAGGAGATTCAGCATAATATTGACCACGTATAACATCTACGGGCAGGTTCACCGTGGCCGTCAAACCTGATGCAAATGTATTTACAGAATAACTCGATAAAAAAATCAGTATGCCCTAAGTGAAGTCTTAAAAATTTCAGTTTTAATCGAAAGAGATCACTGCATATGTCTGGAAGATAATACCAAATCCATTGCTTTTTTAAATGAGAATGAAACTCACGTGAGTTACAGGCGCCGGTGAGGATTCCGCTTCATCGCTAGATGAAAGAAGGTGCGAACCCGGTTTATTTTTCTTGGCAGTTGGGTGAGCGTCAGGTTCTCTGTCGCTTTGACTGTCTGCAAAACTTAGAAACATTAAACTCAGCTAACCTGTGTCGCTACCGAAAATATCGCGTTGATTTATGGCGACAGCGTTTGAATGAGGGGAAGCTTCAGGACTTTCTTCTACAAAATGAAAGTAATTATTTTTAAGAAATGCTACCCGATCCTGAAGCTGAGGCACTGGAAGCGGCAGATGAGTGATCAGACATCAAGGGAAACGTATAATCAACCGAGAACCAACGTTTTGTATTATCTGTTAATGTATGAGTATAGATGAAGACATTTTCCACGATAAGGAATATTATACATCTATTCCGTTGTTTAATTAATTCACAGCAGATCCTACAAAAGACATTTGACCATTCTTAGTGTTAAAAATAATGTCAGAAGATGGCTGAGCAAAATATTCTTAGTGGCTCTAATTCTAAATAAATCGGATAGGGTCGTAGTTTCTTTAAAAAACTAAATCGCTTGATTTTCTGAAATTGTATGTAAGAAGACGCAGATTACATCGTTAACGGTTTATTTTGAGGTGGTATAAAATAAAACCAGAAGTATTTTCGCTTGTTTTCTTAAAATAATTACACTTAGCGAGACAGCAATTCATCACGGTAAAGGAATCCTGTTGGGGGATGCGGAATTACGAAACCTGAAGCCCTCTTAATCCCCATCACTCTGGATTGCATGCTTGGTTGCGGTTTTCTCAAAAGGGAATATTTTACTTTTCATATAATCAAGAAACGATCCCTTCTTCTATTTCGCTGTCGTATATAGCTGTAGGGTGGATACTAAAAATGATTACCTATTTCCACCGCAAAATCGGCTGGGTAATAGTTAGTTACATTTGATAAGGCGTGGAAATGAGATTTTTTACATTTTACGAGACAACAATAACAATACGTTTACGGGGAATGCGTTTACGGGGAATGCGTTTACGTATACTAAGTCGATGCCCTAACTAGTGGGTGCAAACGAGAAGCAACAAAGTATGCAAATTTATTTTGTTCCAGCGGCGTCAGAAAAGGAAGCTTGTATTGTCTCAGTTTAGTTTCAGTTTATTTGGTGAGGATAATAGGCAATGCCTTTGAAAA